TCACAAATGGGTACCTGCCCCAGATCCTGAAGGGATGGAGAAAAGGAGGAAAAAGGATTCATGACCATGCCCTAGAGGGGAGTGCTGTCTCTGTCTGTCTCTGTCTCTGTTTCTACTAAGTGCACATGCCCTCTGGTAATTAAAAAAAAGTGATATAGCTGTATAGTGGAGTATTATTTTGCAATGAAGAGAAATGAAATACTGTTACATGCTATAATATGGATGAACATCAAGACCCTTATGCTAAGTGAAAGACGCCATCCATAGTTGTATGGTTCCATTTATGTAAGTGTCTGAGATAAGCACATTCATAGGGACAGAACGTACATTAGTGGTTGTCTAGAGCTGGGAAAGCCAGAGGGCCTGAGAGATGACAGCTGAAGGTTGTGGGGTTTTTTGGCAGGATAATGAAATTGTCCTAAAATGAATCATGTTGTGTGTACAGTTCTGTAAATACACTTAATGCCATTGACATATACTTAAGATGGGTGAGTCGTACAGTGTGTCAGGAAAGCTGCTAAAACACATATACACATGAACACAGTACCAGGTTTTACAATGGAACACTGTTTATAATAGCAAGAGGAAATAACTTAAATGTCCGTCAGTAAGTCATTGGCCAAGGAAATTATGGCAAGAGATACTACCGTGGGATAAAGTGCAGTATTATGCCAAAGGCAGAAGTGGGACGTTCTATATGAACTGATGTGACATAAGCTCTGAATTATATGACAAAGCAAGGTACACACTAGGGTGTACAGAGTGCTCCCCTCATAAAAAAAAAAAAAGTTCATGCATACTTGTTTCTTTTCTTTTTAAAGATTTTTGCCACAGGGTATGTCTGCTCTTCGGAAAGACAGAGAGAGACAGTGAGAAGAAAAGTGAGAAATCAACCCCCAGGAGAGAATGGCCATGCTGCAATTGCTTCTCCTCTTGGGATGTTGGGCATGCACACACACATGCTTGCTGTGAGTTTCAAGCTGCCAATTCCGGGACTCAAACTGTAGTTGACCATGTGGGCATCCAGTGCATCAATCACCAAGCCACCTGCTGCTCCCCAACTCATTTCTTTTTAATGTAAATATATTCATTTCTTCTGAGAGAGAAAGGCACCTTGGATAGGGTCTTCACACCCCCATCCACATCCTCAGCCCCAGCCAGGATCACAGGCATGCCGTACACATACACACCAGCATGCACAAGAAGGCCTCAGGACACAAACCTGGACCTTCCCATGTGGGTCCAGAATAGCAGAGTATTTTGTTACCACTGCACCACCCTCTGGCCTCCATACTTGTTTTTTATACGCATAAACCAGAGGTTGACAGACTATAGGCCCTAGGTCAAATTCCACCTGCCGTCTCCTCTTGGTACAACCGGTGAGCTAAGAATGGTGCTTAGATTTTAAAAATAGTTGAAAAACAATTGCAAGAAGAATAATATTTCATGACGCATGAAAATGATGTGAAATTCAAATTTCAGTGTCTATAAATAAAGTTTTATTGGCATACAGCCACCCTCATCCATTTCATATTGTCTATGGCTGCTTTCTCAAAACAATGGCAGAGTTGATGAGTCGTGACCGAGACCGTGCCTGCAAAGCCTAAAATATTACGAGCTGGCCGTTTGCAGACACGGTGTGCTCGCTCCTGACCTGGCCTATGGGAAGGAAACAGTGCAAACTGGTGACAGGTGAGCTGCTCTGGGAGGAGAACGTCCAGCCAGGACAGGGGTAGAGAGACTTCTCACAGACCTATTCAAAGACTGTCAGCGACATTTCTGCCTGGGAACATCTTAGAATGTATACATGTAGATGAATATTTTAACAATTACACACCAACTGGGTAATGGAGGTGATTCTGAGGGAGGGTGCTGGCTGGAAGAGGAGTCAAGTGACTTCAGACTCAAAGACGTGGTTGAACTATTTTACAAGGAGACTCACTCCATGTATAACTTGCACAATTATACATAAACAATGCATTCATAAAAACAACTCTCGAACCAGCCAGTTTTATGGTGGTTAAGGCAGCTGGATCCCACAGGACTGACCATACAATTCAAGTCCCAGACAAGACAATCTGAGAAACATGCCGAGCACATGGGTGTGCATGCCCAAACTCCTAACAGGAGGAAGAAATGAAGGGGAGGGGGTTGTGGCTTGACCCTGTGCCATGCTGGGTGCTTTCTCATCCCCCCCCCTCTCTGTCTCTCTCTCTAGTGGGTGCACATGCCCTCTGGCAAAAAAAGGAAACAAAAAACAAGCAGAAATTCTAGTCGCACTTTCTTAGCTCTGTGTTCCATCAGGTCGTGGGCTCTGCCAGGGGGACTCACTACAGCTCCTGGCCCAGGGCATAGCCCGCTGTAGACACTAATCTTGAGGGAGGGTGTACACTCTGAGGAGTGCATCATTCCCTGTTTGCAAGGCTGTGGTGGGATGGCCTGGGAAGAAGGGAGGGCCAGAGGGGCAGGCAGGGACATCCCTAACGCCTCCCCTGCTCATGGCTGCCAGCTGACGTGGTCTGCAGGTACCTCAGTTGAGGAGCTCTAGCCTTTTAGCCTCTCCCCACTCCCCAACCCTCGAAGTCTATAATTATTTCGTCCTTGACAGTCTTTCAGGGGACCTAGCAGGGGCTCGTGCAGCACCAGCTGTGCCTGCTGGTCCCTAGAACTGCCTTTTCAGCAAACACCATCTGTGATGTCACTGATCTCTGTGGGGAGGGACTCTGGCTGCCTGCTGTCCAGGGCTGTAAGGGTCCCTAGCCCGGGGACCAAGTCTGTGGGGCTTCAGCAGAGCTAGGCGGAAGTTCAGGCATCCGGGGACAGCCTGGCTCAGGAACAGCGATGATAAGGGAGTCTTGCACTCGGATCAACGGGACACTTCCTATTTGTTTGCCCTTATCCCTTCTTCCAGGAACGAGAATCTTGTTTTTATTTAAAGACTCCTTTGGGGACCAGCAGATGGCAAAATGGTTACATGGCTGTACTCCCATGTAGTTGACCCTGGTTTGAGTCCCAGCCCCAACAGATTGAAACTCATGCCAGGCGGATGTGCATGTGTGCCCAAAATCCCAAGAGGAGAATGGAGGAGAAGGGATTGTGGCATAGCCAACCCGTCTGGGGGCGAGGGGGTGATTTCTCACTTTCTGTCTCTCTGTCTCTCTGGTAAGTGCATACGTCCTATAGCAAGAAAACAAATAAACAAACAAAGATGAACAAACAAACACTATCTCTGAATAAAAACTAAACAAAACAAACAAACAGAAAAAGCCTGTATGCCTGGTCCATGTAATCTGGGCAGGTATAAGATTGGGCACATGATACGGGCCTGGCCAACCAGAGTGTTCCATTTTCCTTGTCACTGTGATGGGTCCAGAGATAAACATGTGACCCAAGCTAAGCCAATGAATGTCAGCCTTGGGATTTTTGCTAGAGCTATCAGGAGAAAGGCGCTTCTCTGGGCAGGGCTGCACTCCCAGCTGCCAGTTGATTTTTTTGCCACTGTGCAAAGCAAGCTGGCTTGAGAACGAAGCTCAGGCAGAGGGAGCAGAGCTGAGAACCGGAGAAGGCTCCTGGTGGCATTGCTGCCTTTGCACCACAGCGGGGGGCTGCCGTCAGCTCAAGGACCTTCCTGGGTCCGACACTGTCTCTTCCTCTGCATCTCCAGCACGTCCAGTTCTCAGAGAGTTCCCTCTATCTTCTTGTATTCTGATCACCTCTCCTCACTCCTCTGCTCGAAGTGCAGAGATTTTGGACTTTCCCCTTGGACAGGAGTTGCACTGGGTATGTCTAGTTGGCTACTTTCCCCCCTCCTTTGATGACATTGTTTAAACTGGATTCTGTTGGACCCGAAGTCCACATCTAGCCCCGACTTCTTCAGTTAATGAACCAAATCCCCTCTGTGCTTAGGCTGGTTTGTATTGGTGAGAGTCACGCCTGCCTGCCAGGCCCTGGCAGGTTCTCGGTGCATTCTTGGGCATTGCTTTCCCACCCGCTTTGCTGTGCACCGAGGACCCGAGGCTCCTCTTTCTGAGGTTCTGGAGGCAGTTTGCTCCTCTGGCCCGCTGGTTCTCATGCTCTCTCTGGGTGAGACTCTCTGATCCCTTCCACAGCTCCCTCCTCTCAATTCCAGCCCCTGAGTACTCAGGCCTGCCCCCTGCTGTTAACCCCCAGGCCCTTTGTAACTGAAATGTGGTCCAAGACAAGACCGGGTTTTATTCTTTAACCCTTGCCGAACACTTCCTGGTTGCCAGTCTCTGCCAAGCACACTATGTGGACAACCTCATCTCATCTTTTCAATAACCCTGTTGGGTACGTTTCATCGTTGTTATTTCCATTGTCAAGAAATGGGAAGCAGAGGCTTAGGGAAACGAAGTAACTGGCCCGAGACCAAACAGCTGAGCTATACCAACGATGAGGCAGGGCGAGGACTGGACAGTGTGGAGAACTGCGCCTAGAGCCTCTGCTCTGACCACCGCGCCAGGGTCTCTAACCTGAAGGAGCTGCAGGATCACCTGGGGCACAGGTGTGTAGTCCAGGGCCCATTTCTGAGCGAGAACTGAGTAGATCTGGGAAGCTGCTTTATTGTTTATTTATTTATTTTTTAAGGGAGATTTTGCAATAGGGTGAATACACATCCCTGAGAGAAGAACGATACAGAAAACAAGAAATTACCCTCCCAGGAGTGGATGGCCACGCCACAATCCCTTCTCCACCATTCTCCTCTTGGAATTTTGGGCATGCATGCACATCCGCCCAGCGTGAGTTTTAAGTCACCAGGTCTGGGACTCGAATTGCGGTCGACTCTGTGGGAGTCCAGCAATGTAACTGCTTTGCCATCTGCTGGTCCCCCAGCATGAGTTTTAAGTCTGGGGCTCGAACCGTGGTCCACTATGTGGGAGTCCAGCGACATAATCATTACACCATCTGCTGGTCCCAGGAAGCTGCTCCATTAAACAAATGGCCCAGAGGATGCTGGCCATGAAGTGCCAGGACCTCACCCATCAGTCGTCCCCATCTCCCTCGAAGACTTTGACCCTAGAAAGGAGATTGGCATCGCCCGACCTGTTCTTGCAGGAGCAGGACTTCGGAATGATGGCGAAGCGGGACAAACTTCTTTGCTAACAGAAGGAAAAGAGAAATCAAGGTATGTGAAAGGGCAATTGATGCCCGAGAAGAAAACAAAAAATTACAGGATAGCATGGTCCCACTCCACAAGGCGAGGGTATGGGCACCAAGAGATGGGGGGGCATAAGCCAGGGCTTGTGAGAAATTGAAATCCTATAGACTTTGTTCATTTTTTACCCTGAAAAGAAATGTCTCGGGGCTGGCAGGTAGCATGGTGGTTAAAGCGCTAGATTCCCACATGGCCCCCTGTGGTTCGAGTCCTGGTCCTGGCGGCTTTCTTTCTCACTTTTTCTTTCTCTCTCTCTGTCTCTGGTCAAATTAAAAAATAATTAAAACACATGGAATTACACAAATAAGTAATTCTTAACAAAGAAAAGAAATGTCTCTCTTGATCCCAAGGATGAAGTTCAAAATTCATTTCAAAGTCTGGCACCCAGCAGGAGCTGGTTGTCTTGCTTGGCACCTGGCTTTTGGGCATGCTGTTCCCTCTACCAGAAGTGCTGTCGCTTCCCTTCCCCTCCTTTACTTAATGAACTCCTACTCCTCCTTCAGGTCTTAGCACTGATGGGACTTCCTCTGGGAAGCCTTCTCTGATCGTCAAATCTGACCCTCCTCAGTGCTTCATGAACTCCCTACGTGTCTCGATCCTGCCACCCTCCTTCTGTGTGTCTGATTCATCCCACTACACTTTGAGGTTCCTGGAGGAACCGTGTCTGTCTTGTTCTCTATTATATTCTCAGCACCATTCATCGAGTGAATGAGTAATGACAGTTTAAGGACACCCAAGCAGAAAGCGCGGGCAGTTACTTACAGTAATCATTGTGACCACTAGATGGCACACCACCATGGCGTCCATGGGCTGGCTGGGAATGGGGGTAAAACTGAAGATGAACAAGTTGATGGAAAAAGCAGGAGTTGCCAGTGTGCCTGACTTTCTCCAGGCTAATGAGCCGGAGACCCCCCTGCAAGCCTTAAGTTTGTAGATATGGATCTCTTGGCCTTACTCCAGAACCCCATTCCCATAAAGGCTGACATCTCCGTGCCACATGTCAAACGGTTTAATGGCTCTGGACTTTCTTCTCTTGTTCACCACTGAGCTGGTTTTGTTACTGTGAGGGCTGTTGCTGCTGGTTGCATCAAATGGTTTTATAACCACTTTTTCTTTTCACTGTTTAGAAGTTGGGTGGACTCTGTCACTTTTAGGGTTTGAGCAACTACTGAGTTCAATCTTCCACTCTACAACTGAGCCAAAACTTTTTTTTTTTCTTTTTTCTTTTTGCTATAAGGTGCAAAAGGCTAGCCAGAGAGACAGAAAGCAAGAAATCATGCCCCTGGGGGGATGGCTATGCCACATCCCCTCTCCTCTATTCTCCACTCGGGATTTTGGGCATGAGTTTCAAATCTCCAGGTCCTGGACTTGAACTGTCATTGACCACATGGGAGTCCAGTGTTTTAACCACTATGTCACCTGCTGGCCCCAGAAGCTTACACTTCAACTGTTATGCCTCCCTTCTATCACCAACAGAAATTGGCTTATTTTTCAAAGAATTATATCTTCATTTTTTTTTTTTTAGAGACTTTTTTAGCTATGGAGTGTGTGTGCTCACCAGACAGACAGAGAGAGGCAGAGAGACAGAAAGCGAGAAATCACCCCCCAGGGGGATGGGCACGCCACAATCCCTTCTCCTCCATTCTCCTCTCAGGATCTTGGGCACTTATGCACATGCGCCTGGCATGAGTTTTAAACAACCAGTTCCGGGACTCAAACCGTGGTCGACGACATGGGAGTCCAGCGACATAGCCATTACCCTAGCTGCTGGTCCCTTCAAAAAACTACGAGTCCAGCGACATAGCCATTACGCTAGCTGCTGGTCCCTTCAAAAAACTATATCTTATAGAAAAATCTCCTTTTTTGGTTGTTGTTGTTGTTTTTCATTACTTCCTGAGAATTCCAGGGCAGTGACAAGTGAAAACAACACAGCAATGCTGAATTGTAGCCTCTGGGCAGCAGGCTAGGCTTACGTACTAGGGTTATTATTTCTAGTATACCAGCCTCCCGGTGCTATGATTTAAATTTGGGTTCAGCAAAATGACAAAGTATTATATAAGCATTCTGGTTCACTCACAAATAATTAAAACCAACAATTTAAACTGAATGATGCCAAGAATCTAAGTTAGCAAGCTGCCGATGGCTAGCTAGCTTGTCCATAAGCCCTAACAGCCCCGCACTGTTGTAATAATGGTAGTATCATTTGGAAAATCTTTTTCTCTGAAATGTAATGAAAACTTTTACTTGGTAGAAATTCAGTAACCTGGGTTTTTTTTTAAAGAATTATTTATGTAATATTATTTATCATTATTATTATTTTTTAAATTTGCTACAGGGCACACATGCTTGAGAGAGAGAGAGAGAGGAGGGAGAAAAAGAAAGAGGAGAGAGAGAGAAAGTGAGAAAGGAAGTCACCAGTCTGGAACTTGAACTGTAGTTGGCCATGTGGGAATCCAGGGCCTTAACCACCTTGCCACCTACTGGTCCCAACCTGGAGTCTTTAAGAAGCCGGAATGAGATAATGACCTCGTAGAGTTAATTCTTGACTACCTATGGATGTTCGTGACTGTTAGCCCCTTGCGCCTTTGCATTCCTATCTTTGTAGTGGTGGCAGCTAGACTGTGTTTGAATTGGAGCAGGTTCCAGACCAGTGTAGCCACAGCAAGCAGTTACACCGGCTTTTGGCAATCTTGCTGTGCTTGGCTGCTCGGCTAATCCCAATCTCTGCCCATTACAACCTTCATATCTGAACGGTTTGGGAATTATTTTAAAACACCCTTATTTGTACTCCTGCAATCCAGCCAATGACAGCCATAAAGATTGCCTTGTGGTTCTTTGAGCTGTTGATTGAAGGGTGTGAGTGTGTGTGTGTGTGTGTGGGGGGCAGCAGAAGCTGAGTTAGCCCAGGGCTTTGTCCCAAGGTCATGCAAAGAGGTACAATGGTAGTGTAGGCCACAGCAGCCACCAGGGTTCTTGGCAGCCTAGATAATGCATTCGCCCTCCTGCGGACTGTTTCCAAGTGCTGGGTGTGTGCGCATGTGTGTGTGTGTGCGTGTGCACACTCAGTAGAGGAGGTAGGTATGAGTCATTCAGTCAGTTCTCTCAGCGAGGATGTCATGGACTGCCACAAAAATGGGTTCAGTGCTAAACTTCACAACCTTGGATTTGGCAGGGATTTCTTGAATGTGACGCCAAAAAGTACAGGCAACAAAAGAAAAACAGACAAATTGGATTATACAAAAAATGTAAGATTTTGTACATCAAAAGACACTCTTGGAGTGGCAAAATGTGATGCTCTGTGAATTCTACCCACAGGGGAGAATTCTGGGTTTGCATCCAGAGAGCTTCCTGAGTATGTTGGGTGTGTGTGTGTGCCATTGGCTCAGGGCTGGGTGCAGGTGGGGTGGATCATGACCTCAAGACCCTGTTTGGAGAGCTCTCTCCCTCTCTCTCTAGGAAGAAATAAACTTATTTTAAAAAGACACTAACAGTGGAGTAAATGTGCAACCCATAGAATGGGAGAAAAATACCACAGGTCTTCGAAAAGATCATGGAAAAAATAAATTATGGAACAGCTAAACATGTATTTCAAATTTTTTTGCACCAAAATAAACTCTTATTTTGATTCCATATTTTGACAGATTTTTTTTTTCCCCTCCAGTGTTTGTTTATTAACCCCAGTGGGGAGGTGCAGCCCAGGTCGCAGGTTCTCCAAGTGCCACATGAAGCCATAGTCTGTATAGAGAATCTCCTTGCCTGAGTGGAGCCCGTACAGCTCTCCCATCATGGGGGGCACCCGGTGTGTCGTGTGGAACATGGACTCCCCCATCTCCCAGTTAGGCACATCTTTCATGATGATGGCCTCCTCCTTCAGGTTCTCCCGCAGTTCTACTTCATCACGCCCCAGTACCTAAAGAACAGGTCCCAGTGCCTATGGCGAACATGCTGTAGCCCGACAGTCCCCGATGTGGTAGGTTCCACTTGTAGTTGATGAGGATAGCCACTGGTGGGGGTGTGTCTTGCTTTACCTTTGATGTCCCCATGCTTGCAAGAGCCTTCCACAGACCTTCTAAAGTCCCCTTGTATTTGAAAATCAAGTATCTGATAAAGGATTAATATCCCACACTATGAGGAGGCTCTGTGGCCTGGTGGTTGGAAGAGCCACATCCCACATGGCCACACTGTATGATTTCAATCCCAGCCCCAGCAATTTGAAAAACATGCTGGGTCTAAAATACCAACGGGATAGAAAAGTGGAGAAGAAGGAATTACAGGAGACTCTGTCCCCCTGAGGGTGTTTTCTCCCTCTCCTTCTCTCTCTGTCTTCTTCACTCTCTGGTGAGCATGCACACCCTCTGACAAAAAATAAATAAGAAAGTAAGTAAATAAATTAATTAATTTTTAAAAAAACTAAAATTACCTAGACTATATAAAGAAATCCTAAAGCTCAGCAACGACAATAAAAAAGAAAAACCCTATTCAAAACTAAGCAGAAGATTGAATAGAGGGGACCAGCAGGTGGCTTGGTGCTTAAGGCGTGGACACTCTCACATGGCCAACCATGGTTTAAGTCCCAGACAATCCCAGCCCCAGCAATTTGAAAAACATGCTGGGTCTAAAATACCAACGGGATAGAAAAGTGGAGAAGAAGGAATTACAGGAGACTCTGTCCCCCTGAGGGTGTTTTCTCCCTCTCCTTCTCTCTCTGTCTTCTTCACTCTCTGGTGAGCATGCACACCCTCTGACAAAAAATAAATAAGAAAGTAAGTAAATAAATTAATTAATTTTTAAAAAAACTAAAATTACCTAGACTATATAAAGAAATCCTAAAGCTCAGCAACGACAATAAAAAAGAAAAACCCTATTCAAAACTAAGCAGAAGATTGAATAGAGGGGACCAGCAGGTGGCTTGGTGCTTAAGGCGTGGACACTCTCACATGGCCAACCATGGTTTAAGTCCCAGACCTGGTGGTTTACTTTCTCACTTTCTCACTCTCTCTCTCTTCAAATGAAAATAAGTTAATGAATAAGTAATATTAAATTAAATCATTCTTTTTTAAAAAAAGAAGATCGACTAGATATTTTTCCACAAAACGTACACAAACGGCATGAATAAGCACAAGAAAAGATGCTCCATGTCACTAATTATTATGAAAATGCAGCTCAAAACTACAATGAGATAGCACTTCACGCCCATTGTGATAACTACTATTAAACAACAACAACACCAAAAAAAATCACAAGGGTCGGGGAGAGATATGAAACCGGAAGCCCGCGTCCTATAGGTGGAAATGTAGCATGGCACAGTGTGGCAGTGTAGAAAGCAGTGGGACAGTTCCTCAAAAAAAATTAAAAATAGAATCACTACAGGATCTAGCAGTTCTTCCTGGATATTTACCCCCCACCTAGAAGGTCGTATCAAAGAGACATTTGAACACCCAGGCTCCCAGCAAGTGTCCACAATAGCTAAAAAGTAGAAGCGACCCAAGTGTCCGCTAGTGGATACATGAGAGAAGCCAGTCACAAAAGACGAACACTAGATGATTCTTCTCACGTGAAGTACTGGGAGTAGTCAAAGTCAGAGACAGACAGTGGAACGGTGGTTGCCAGGGGCTGTTGGGAAGGGGAATGGAAGGCAATTGTTTAGCATTTCAGTTTTACATGATGGAAAGAGTTACAGAGACGGATGGTGGCCACAGCTGCACAACACCATGAATGCATTTGATAACACTGAGCTGTACACTTAAAAATGGTTAAGATAGGGAACCAGCAGTTAGCGTAATGGCTATGTCGCTGGACTCCCACGTAGTTGACCGTGGTTCATGTCCCGGACCCGGTGGCTTAAAACTCACGCCGGGCGTGTGTGCGTGCGTGCCCAGGATCCCGAGAGGAGAATGGAGAAGGGATTGCGGCGTGACCATCCCCCCTGGGGG